TTGACGACCAGTTTAGGTTTTGCTAAAAAAACATTTCCAAAAAAGCTTTTTAGTTGGTAGGAAATTTTCAGTAGTTACTGTGCTAGCCCTAAGCTTAATCTCTAGATTCACCATTGCTATCGTTTGGTATATACCATGCACTAGATCTTGAAGATTGATTGTTGATCATAAACGACCGGGCAAGTGTTACATCAGCGGATTAGAACTGTAGTGGAGTTTTTTTGTAGATAGTAGAAGATCTGCAGTGTCAAACACAATTTAGTCTGTGGAAAGATTCCCATATAACATTTTGGAGCCAATCCTACTTGCTTGAAATAAAAATTGAAAATTCTTGAATGGATCCTTTATAACATAAGATGAGAGCAAAGTATAACACTAACCTCAAGACACCTAATTCCTTCGCTAATATGCCAAGTTCTCGCCACAACATTTGTCCATAGCCTTTTCGACGAAATGCTGGTCTCACATACAAATCTTCCATATGGATAAATTGCCCTTCCCATGTTGAGTAAGCAAAGTAGAAAAGCAGCATTGCAGCTGGTTCATCATCTTCTCGCAAGATAAACCCGCCTACCGCATTATTGTCAAGATCGGTGGCTAGGCGAGATTCGTCGATCTAGAAGCAGACATGCATTTAATTCACGTCAGACATCTAATTTATCAACAACCCTCACCTTGACTGCTGTCGGCATCTTCTCGAACTCTGCCAATTCTCTTATCATGCCCATTAAGGTGGGTGCATCAGCGGATGTTGCCCGACTTACTGTGACCGCCATCGCTAGTCTGAAGCAGTTATTTCAATTTGAAAATGAGAGAATGATAGTGGGATCAAAATAAAAGAAGAACGATTTCCATATTCCCTACCAAACTATCGCATGGATATTTGTCAGGGTTAGATAACCCACGTAGTCAATAACACTTACCCTAAATACTACAAGGACAGGAGATAAGAGAGTAAAGATTTATCGCCATCATTTGCAAAAGTTTAACTTTAACCTATTGGATTTTTAAATGTTGTAAATGTCTGATATAATCACTGGTGATTATAATTTTCACAAATTTAATGAACACTCAACTTCCTATGTGGCGAGCTCGTCTGATTTTCTAATTTACTCAAATTAAAAGACGGCCATTCTCTGAGAGCTCCTGCTACGCCGGCGGACATTCACTAATATCTTTTATTTCATGCGCACAAAAATAGAAAATTTGAGCTGTAGCTACGAACTTTCTTGTCTGCTGCTGATAGCTTCAATCATTTTAGTTTACTGAACAATATTCGCTTTCTGATCTTTTTTCACAGTCCCCTTCTCGCTTCCGATCTCTATAAAATCTCGCCATTACAGACCTCGGCGGCAGGTCTCCGGAAGGCAAACTAGAATTCGTTTCTGTGAAAAAAGCAAAGGGGGCATCGTATGGGGTTCGGAGAAGAGCCTGCAGTTCAATCTCCATTATGACCGCTTCCACTTTCAAGAATATTGAAGTTTCCCCATCCCCTTCCCCCTCCGCCCAAACGCGGATGTTCATGCAGCGGCCTGAATACTTGCACCTTATTCAATACTAAATTCAGAGCAATTCCACACATACTTTTAGATCGTTTAAAAACCTACTCCAGCAAAGGTTCAACGTTCGTTTCAATGCGGGCGTTCGCGCGGGAGATTTAAAAGTGTAAATTTAGATAAACCCGTTTCTAGGCGATTAGGCAATGAACGGCCACATAATTGGCGTAAAGATGCGCAAGAAGGAGTAGAAAAAGTGTTTGAAAAATCTTTGAAATATTATGAGTGGAAAAATCGCCGTACCTCTTTGTGATTTAGGTCTCCGGCGGAGATTCCGGCAGACCTCAGGTCTCCGATTAGCAAATTTTCTTTCTCATAATTTTACATTCCTTATAGCAAACACTTTTTGTGCACCCCTTGACCCAACTTACAGCGCAATAATCAAATCACAGCACTTTTTCCCTTCCTTGCTAGGGCCCTAAATTGTTTTTCCCTAATGGAGAACGCGCTTCAAGTATGCAGCACTGCAGTGCTAGTCCTGATTGCACGCATTTGTACAAGTTACAAAGAGGACTTGGTAATGTCCTGGGTTTTCGAGCGAGTATTCGCTCTCGTAAGATTCAATCGGAGACCTCGTGCCGAGGTCTGCGCCATTACTCACAGTCCGCGCTTTAGTGGCTACGGATGATGTAAAATGCATAGAGATCAAAATATTCATGGAGCACAATCGTGCTTGTAACACAAGCAAAGAAGGTTAAAGAAAGTCGTGGTCAAGAAAACAAGGATTAGATATTCAATGCCCAATGAAGCAATCGCATTAGAAAAAGCTTGTAAAACGGTTGCATTATTGGGCGTACCATAACTCACAAAATGAATGAAGATGAGTGAATTGTGATTAAGTTAGCAACCACATTTATATTCAGGATTTTTTCTAAAAAAGCGCCATAATCAAAACAAGAGGCAGAAAGGCAC